ATGGACTAATCTGGATCAGCCTGGACTGATCTGGATCAGCATGGACTAATCTGGATCAGCCTGGACTAAATTAGACTGAACTGGATCTTCCTGGACTGAACCGGATCTGCCTGGACTAATCTGGTTCAGGATGGACTAAATTGGACTGAACTGGATCTGCCTGGACTGAACTGGATCTGCCTGGACTGATCTGGATCAGCCTGGACTAATCTGGTTCAGCCTGGTCTAATCTGTTTTAGGATGGACTGATCTGGTTCAGGCTGAGTAATATGGTTCATCTGGTTCAGGATGGACTGAACTGCATCTGCCTGGACTAATCTGGTTCAGGATGGACTAATATGGTTCAGGATGGACTGATCTGGTTCAGAATGGACTGATCTGGTTCAGGCTGGACTAATATGGTTCATCTAGTTCAGGATGGACTAATCTGGTTCAGGATGGACTAAGATGGTTCAGGATGGACTGATCTGGTTCAGAATGGACTGATCTGGTTCAGGCTGGATTAATATGGTTCAGGATGGACTGAACTGGATCTGCCTGGATTAATCTGGCTCAGGATGGACTAATATGGTTCAGGATGGACTAATCTGGTTCAGGATGGACTGATCTGGTTCAGGATGGACTGATCTGGTTCAGGATGGTCTGATCTGGTTCAGGATGGTCTGATCTGGTTCAGGATGGACTAATCTGGTTCAGGATGGTCTGATCTGGTTCAGGATGGACTAATCTGGTTCAGGATGGTCTGATCTGGTTCAGGATGGACTAATATGGTTCAGGATGGAATGATCTGGTTCAGGATGGACTAATATGGTTCAGGATGGACTGATCTGGTTCAGGATGGACTAATCTGGTACAGGATGCTCTGATTTGGTTCAGGATGGACTAATATGGTTCAGGATGGTCTTATTTGGTTCAGGATGGACTGATCTGGTTTAGGATGGACTAATCTGGTTCAGGATGGTCTGATTTGGTTCAGGATGGACTAATATGGTTCGGGATGGACTGATCTGGTTCAGGATGGAGTAATATGGTTCAGGATGGACTGATCTGGTTCAGGATGGTCTGATTTGGTTCAGGATGGACTGATCTGGTTCAGGATGGTCTGATCTGGTTCAGGATGGACTGATCTGGTTCAGGATGGACTGATCTGGTTCAGGATGGACTGATCTGGTTCAGGATGGAGTGATCTGGTTCAGGATGCAGAGAAAAAACATTCACAGAGCTCTGTTCTGGTCTGCTTTCACTTTGCTGCTTAAACTCGCTGTAGAAAAACCTTCCTCATCATATCATCCCTCCAAGAAACAACAAACTATTATATCCGACCGGCTACAGCGAAGCAGTAAATCTGAACTCCTCTGGGATTATCGCTGAGCTTTCTGACCAACAGAGAATTATAGAGGAGCAGAAAAAAGCAAAGGAGGTGGATTAGCAGCAGGAGTCGTTCAGGGTGCTGTCCCGTTTCATTTCTGGTGTTAGGACTTGTTCTTGGTTCAGATTATTTACCCTGAGAGTTTAAAGCCTTTATGTTACGCTAGCTGCTGTCAATAATGCATGTGATGCTAACCAGTGTGAGGCCTTATTAGCGGTCAGTAGGGGCCATCAGAGCTGATTCTAACAGAACAATCAGTCTGTTCCTTAGAAAACATTCAAGTTGATTTTTAGATTTAAACTTTTAAACAACAGGAGGGAGAAGTTTATTATGTTTCATATTACTGCAGACTGTTTATACCTCTGTTGTGAGGGAAAAACATTTTGGATATTTTTTCAGTTTGTGGACAATGACAAACTGATTCTGATGGCGTCTGCATGATGGCACAAAACTAACTGGTAAACCGGGCGGTTTGGCAGTTTTCCTTTGGCTCATTTCCCCTGAAGAAAATTCATTTCTTATAAACCTTCCTCTGAAGTAATGGGACCAAAGTTTAACAGCTTTAATCTAAACAGGCCAGATAATGTTGGTGGAGTCTGAAAAGGTGCCAATATCTCTCCATTCTTCTCCAGCTGTCGAGCTGAACGTCAGCGAAGAGGATTATTTTTAACCACTATCTATCAGGGGCTCATTTCAGGGATGCTGAGGAGGGAATTTGCAGCCAGTATCCATGGAAACGCATCGCTTAGAAACCAAACTTGGCTGAAGTTTAGGAGCGGAGAGGATGGATCGTCTCCCCCCTCGGTCGGGATCGGGTGGGACAGGCTCTCCGTTACCACGGACGTTGGTTGAGATGGGATCCTCAGCTCCATCCAGTTTAAACCAGTTTAAACCAGTTAAAACCATCCAGTCTTATTATGGATTTGAAAGAAAAATGAAAACGAACCGTTTGGCGGTTTGACCTGGACAGGAACCCGATTAACCGCACTCTGCTGCTGAAACCACTGATACATTTTCCTGATAAATGTGGCGACATTGAAGGAGCAACAATCCGGTTTTCCTTTGGGAATGTTTATGTTTCTCAAACTAACTTCCTCCTTTGTGGCGTCCCTCCGTCAGACCAGCAAAGTCTGGGTCTGTGCGTGTTTAGCAACAACAGTAAGAAGGTGTGAAGAAGGGAAGGATGTAAACCGCTTTAATTCTGACCTTTATTATCTAAGAGCCGACAGGTCCGTCCTAAGCCCCAGCGGCCATGTTTCAGGCGCTGACCCGGTCCAACTGACACACCTTGATGACAAGCTGAGCAGGTAAAAGGATTCGCTGAAGCGCAGCGTGACATCTGTTTGGTTGAAACTGGACAGGATCCAGTTAGCATAGTGGGAACAAGTCACCTCAGCTCTATAGCCTCAAACTAACATCTAACAGAAGCCAGTAAAGGTCAGAGGTCGTCTCTACCAGCTACATCATCAGCATCACTGTGGCTGCGGAGGAAAACAGACTTTATGCCCCTGCTGTTGGATGATGCTGATTTGGTGTGTTTTATAGCGACGCGTCACGGGTTAGCTAGCTAGAGCTGCCGTCCAATCAGGAGGCTTCATAGGAAGCACCGCCGCTGCTGCACAGCTAGCGGCACAGGAGCTACCGGGCTTCCACGCATGCCGAGCCCACGGCGAAGGACGGCCGTACCTTGGACTGGACGTCTGCGTTGTGGTCGTTCTGAAGGAGCAGCGCGGCCGACTTGGTGTCGTCTTTGCGTGCGGCGATGTGCAGGGCGGGCAGGCGGACTTTCCCTTTGGTGTCATTCTCCAGTAAGATGGAGACCACCTGGTTGTGTCCCTGCTGGAGGGCAATGGCCAGCGGGGTGAAGCCATCCTAGAGGGACGGTGGAGGAGCAAACGGATAAACATGCTGTCAGAACTCTGGCGGTCTGACCTGGGCGTACTCACCTCTGTAGCAATGCTTTGGTTGCCTCCGTTCTCCAGCAGGTAGCGAACCACGTCCAGGTGATTCTCCTGAGCCGCCATGTACAGAGGAGTGAATCCATTCTGGAAAGAAGAAACAGCAGCTGCTGGTTAAACACCAGCTTAGGTATCCATCCAGGACACGGAGAGGAAGGCAGCGTCACCTGAGACTGCGAGTTGATGTCAGCTCCTCTTTTGGTCAAGATCTTCACCACCTCAGCCTGACCAGCAAGGGAGGAAATGTGGAGGGCTGTGTTCCCTTTCTGGATCAACAGGAAACATCAGAAGAACATTCCAAAAAGGTTCAAATCAATCCACTGAGCTTTGTTTCCAGGTTTGAAGACATTTTTCTTCCATCCAGGAAGCTTTTTCAATTCAAAATGTCAGAAATAGCGTTTAGTTCCAGGCTTTGGCAGTTCCAGTTCCTGAATCAAATGGTGGGTTACCTCCTCAGAAGGCAGCCAGTTCTTCCAGATTTCTCTTAATCACCTAATTATGTGATTCAAGTGTGTTGAACCAAAGGTAGATCTAAAAGTTGTAGTATACCGTCCCTCAGGAACTGGAATCGCCCACCCCTGCTCCATACAGCAGCCCGACCAAGCCTTACTTTAGCTGAGACAACATGCAAACTGACACAGACGAACGGTGATATCATCACATCCCCTTTACAGGAGAACAGAAGACCTCACCTGTTCATCCAGGCCAACTATTCCCTTTAACAACCCCCTTTCAGAGGCATAGACAGGTATGGGGCATTGCAGGCTAACAAAGAAGCCAAATGACCCCCATTCCAAAGGGGGGGACCCGTTCATCCATTTCTATTTGCATGTTTTCTAATCAAAATCAAGGCTTTCCGATCCAGCCCTAAAATGGTGGTATCGGTATCGGCGAGTACCAACCAATAGGGCACTGGTACCATTCTGAGAGCCAGAACTTTCTACCCACTCCAGGTAGGCAATAAAAAGTTCTACTGGATTCACTTTGTTGTAGTCCTGCTTCAGAAAGGAAGGCAGCAGCTTGATGAAGCCATGATGGTGATTATTTTACATCCAGGTAGGATGCAGTTCTTCATATAAACACACATCAGGCCAGAAAAGGCATCAGGGCAGCACTACTAACGAGCCTCTGTGTTTTAATCTGGAACATTCTGGGTGTAAACCTGACACTTTAAATGACTCCTCTCCTGCATGGCGTCTGCTGACCTTTGACCTCTGGAGCATCTCCAGGCTACGCTGCAAACCAGAAGCTTCTGCGTCTCTGGTTGCAGCCCCGCTGAGGAGGGATGGTTACCTTAGTGGAGGAATCCACGGCCGCCCCTCGGTCTAGAAGCTCCTGGACCAGATCCACATGGCCCTCCTTGGCAGCCAGATGCAGGGCGTTCAGACCGTTCTGGGAGGAAAGGGGAGAGGCATCAGAACCATCCAGACTCACCACTTCTACATCTTCTAGGTCTACGGCTAAAGCAGCCATCTTTTTTGAGCCTGACATGCGGCGTATCGAAGAGGGATGAACTCCGCTGGATCGCTAGCAAGGCTATGAATAGCTGCCAGTTTCACCGTCTCATTGCTACCTATTAGAGCCAAGAGCCAGAACCAGCCTTACAAGAGCCAGAACCAGCCTTACAAGATCCAGAACCAGCCTTACAAGATCCAGAACCAGCCTTACAAGATCCAGAACCCCTGTGACACCCAGCAACCCCTCTGAGACCCAGCAGAACCCCTCTGAGACCCAGCAGAACCCCCTTGAGACCCAGCAACCCCCCTGAGACCCAGCAGAACCCCCCTGAGACCCAGCAGAACCCCCCTGAGACCCAGCAGAACCCCTCTGAGACCCAGCAGAACCCCCCTGAGACCCAGCAGAACCCCCCTGAGACCCAGACCCAAAAAACGTTGATGGCGCTGTGGGAGACGGCTGGCTCTCCAGTAGCTCTCCAGTTCTTAAACTTTTTTTAACCTTTTAAACCTATTTAACCCCTTTTTCTTCTACTGTTTTATTCTTCTTGTGAAGAGTACTGTGCACTTTACATTTATCCTGTGGATATTTCGAACTTAAAATGCAACAAAAAGCCACTTTTCTCACTTATTCGAGAGAGGAACTGCTGGCACTGCGTACAATGCAACGAGCCGGAATACGACATCCCATCCCCGGGGAGCTGAGGAGGAGACCCAGGGGCTGCAAGGCTGAGGCTAAGCTAAAGGCGGAGCTAGCGGAGAATCGGAGGTGCTCCAAGCCATCGATTCCCTCCGTGATCATGGGGAATGTGAACTCGCTGCCGAACAAGATCGACGAGTTGTCCGCGCTGAACAACCAGCGGATCTACCGGGAGAGCAGCGTGTTCATCTTTACGGAGACATGGCTAAACCACCTCGTACCGGATGCTAACGTGGACCTGCCGGGATTCACTGCTGTGAGAGCTGACAGAGACACTAAAGCAAGCGGAAAAAGCAAAGGTGGGGGACTCATCATGTATGTCAACAAACGCTGGTGTAACCCAGGACATATCTCTGTAAAGACAGTCTCATGTTNTACTTAAGTACAGTAACAAAGTATTTGTACTTCGTTACTTGACACCTCTGCCTTTTTGTAGTAAAACATTAAAGTAGTGATAATCTGATTTATTTCCAAATATTAACCTTGACCTTGGTTTATTGTCTGTAGAGGACCTTTCCATCTATGAGACAATCCCACCCCTCAGAGCCTCTGAAAATGGTAAAGTATTCTTATAATCTCAAAGAAAGAACTAAAACTGTTCAAAAAAAGGTATTCTAAAATGGAATATAAGAAATAAGATTGTTCTTCTCACTATATTTTCTCTATTGGTATATTTTCCATTTTAGTCATGTGACAGTCCCAGCAGAGAGGTCTCATCGTTCAGCGGAGGATTCTGATTATGCTAATGTTAAACCCGGTATTTACAGCTGAACATGGAGTTCAGATGGTTAACATCTACATACGGACTCTAGGCATCAGCAGAAAGCGTCCCCATCAGAGACGCAGCTGATGACTATTCGATTAATGGCTTGTTTATTTTGCTGTATATTATCTGAGATATCTTTGGTTTATAATACTATTGGTTTCCAAATATCAGACCTGTTTCTATAGTCTTTGTTTTAGCAAGAGGCTGTCTTTTACTTGTGCTGATTATTATTTATCAGGTTAGGGAAATATAATAAAAATAAGCTATGTTAATCTTTTTTTATGTTTATTCCATTGTTGCAACTTAAAGATTTATGGTTTTGTAGACAGTCTTTCAGTGGCCAAAATATATCGCAAATATTACCAAGCTTCTATGTAAGTTCTAATCTGATTTGCTGTCTATATAGATTGACAGAACAGTTTTTGACTGTATGGATGATGGTGCTCTCTCTGGTTACATCCTAACATATGGGGATTGCATAACAGCATCAGGCTTCTATTAGGAAAGTTAAGGTAAACATTAGGGCTCAACAAGTCGACTATATTAAGCTGAATTGACCTAAATCTGGACAACTTGAAATTTCAGCATAGTTTAGATCTTGTGATGAAATATAAACATGGTGATCAAATGTAAACATAGGACTGAGAGATGATTTAAAATTTTTCCAACATTCAGTTTTTTTATTTACGTTATATTAAACATTCAGCAGTCTAATGGCAGTGGGAAAGAAGCTGCTTTGGAATCAAATGCTGGGCTTGCATCGGATGCTTCGAAGTCTCTTCCAAGAGGGCAGCAGGGAGAACAGTCCATGGTGGGGGTGTGAAGGGTCATTGGTAATGTTATGGGCTCGGGACACGCAGCGCTGGGATGAAATGTCTTGTATCGAGTTCCGTAAAAGTTTAAAAAAACAATCCACTGGACTTGGTTTCTAAGATTTGAAGACATTTCCCTTCCCCTCCAGGAAGCATTCTCAATTCAAATGTCTGGATCTGCAGTGAGTTTAAGTCTTTATATAGCCTTGTATTGCTTGGAAACATGCAAATTGAAACGACGAGAGGGTTGTTGGTTCCATTGTTAGCCTGTAATATCTGAAACCTGTATGATTCTGAAGGTCGGTCGTTAAAGGGGGGGATTGTCGTTAAAGGGATCTCTTCTGTGTTGGGCCATGCATCAGAAGAGCGGTCTCCTCTGGAAATGACTATGCAGTACATCTATGCCTTGTGGACAAAGGACATTCTTTTGAGGACCACAATGTTCACATTCTGGATAAAGAAATTAGGTGATTTGAGAGGGGCGTGAAGGAAGCCATCTATGTTAAGAGAGAAAAAACAACTTTAAACAGAGGTGGTGGACTCAGATTCCAGTTTCCAAAAAACTTACAATTCAGTTATAGAGCTGATCCTTTCCAGATATCACCACACCCCCCACCCCATCACAGAGGAACAAAGTACCTCCCCGCTCCAGCCGGTGAACAATACCTCCTTAACAACCGACCCTTAACAATCATAGACAGGTTTCAGGTATTACAGGAGACAATCGCCCCCTTTAACGACAATCCCCCCCTTTAACAACCGACCTTTAGAATCATAGACAGGTTTCAGATATTACAGGCTAAAAATGGAACCAAACAACCCACTCTTCAGTTCAATTTGCATGTTTCCAAACAATCCAAGGCCTTCTCTATGTTAAGACTCAAACTCACAGCAGATCCAGACATTTGAATTGAGAAAGCTTCCTGGAGGGGAAGCGAAAGCGCGGCGCGCCCCAGGGGTGTGTTTTAAGCCCTCTGCTCTACACCCCCGTTCACACATGACTGCTCTGCCTCTTCTCCCTCCAACCTGATCGTCAAATTCGCTGACGATACCACCGTCCTGGGCCTCATCACCAACAACGATGAGAGGGACTACAGGGCAGAGGTGCAACATCTGGCATCATGGTGTGACAGCAGCAGGCCCAGACAGAGTGTGCCCTAGAGTACTCAAGACCTGCGCTGCAGAACTAGGGGAGCCAGTACAACGGATCTTCAACCTTAGCCTGCAGCTAGGGAGAGTGCCCACCCTCTGGAAGACATCCTGCATCGTGCCGGTACCAAAGAAGAGCAGGCCCAACGAGCTGAATGACTTCCGACCGGTGGCACTCACTTCACACCTGATGAAGACGTTGGAGCGGCTCTTCCTCGGCCTTCTCAGACCCCAGGTGCAACACGCCCAGGACCGCCTGCAGTTCGCATACCAGCCAGGTGTTGGTGTGGAGGATGCTATCCTCTACATGTTACATCGAGTCCACTCCCATCTGGATAAGGGAAGTGGTACTGTGAGGATTCTATTTTTGGACTTCTCCAGCACCTT